ACAGAAACAGCTCTCTGGCCTCGTGGCCAGATGCCCCCACCCTGGCGCCCAATACTGCCAACACGAGTGGGCTGCCAGGGGTGCCGTGGGCGGTGGCACTGGCGGGGGCACTGTTGGCACTGGCGGTGTTGGCCACCGTGGGAGGCAACCTGCTGGTAATCGTGGCAATCGCCCGGACCCCGCGACTCCAGACCACGACCAACGTATTCGTGACTTCTCTGGCCGCAGCCGACCTGGTGGTGGGACTCCTGGTAGTGCCGCCGGGGGCCACCTTGGCGCTGACTGGTCACTGGCCCCTAGGCGCAACTGGTTGCGAGCTGTGGACCTCGGTGGACGTGCTGTGCGTTACCGCCAGCATCGAAACCTTGTGCGCCCTGGCAGTGGACCGCTACCTGGCCGTAACCAACCCGCTGCGCTACGGCGCGCTGGTCACCAAAAGCCGCGCCCGGGTAGCGGTGGTTCTCGTGTGGTTCGTGTCCGCCGCGGTGTCATTTGCGCCCATCATGAGCAAATGGTGGCGCATGGGAGCGGACGCTGAGGCGCAGCGTTGCCATTCCAACCCGCGCTGCTGCGCCTTCGCCGCCAACATGCCCTACGCGCTGCTCTCCTCCTCCGTCTCCTTCTACCTTCCGCTGCTTGTGATGCTCTTCGTTTACGCGCGAGTCTTCGCCGTGGCTACGCGCCAACTGCGCTTGCTGCGCCGGGAGCTGGGCCGCTTCCCGCCGGAGGAGTCTCCGCCGTCTCCGTCTCGCTCTCCGTCTCCAGCCCCGGCGAGGCCGTGCGCTTCGCCTGCAGGGGTGCCCTCCTACGGTCAGCGACCCGCGCGCCTTCTGCCTCTCCGGGAACACCGGGCCCTGCGCACCTTGGGTCTCATCATGGGTACCTTCACTCTTTGCTGGTTGCCTTTCTTTGTGGCCAACGTGGTGCGCGCCCTTGGGGGCCCCTCTCTGGTTCCCAGTAAAGCTTTCCTCGCCCTTAACTGGCTAGGCTACGCCAACTCTGCCTTCAATCCGCTCATCTACTGCCGCAGTCCTGACTTTCGCAGCGCCTTCCGCCGTCTGCTGTGCCGCTGCCGGCGGGAGGAGCACCACGCCGCGGTCTCCGCGTCCCGCGACCCTTCCGGCACCCCTGAGCCACTGAGCAGCCCCGCGGAGTCCAGGCAGTGCCCACCGCTGGACGGGTAGGTAACCGAGGCGAAGGGACAGGCAGCTCGGGATCAGGAAACATTCGGTGTCTCCTCTGGTCAATTTTTTGAGTTTGGGGTTCGGTAAGAGAAGGCGAGGTTGGCGAGGAACTCCGTATTGAGAGAAGGGGTACATGGAGTAGGGAACCAAAATGGAACCCAGGGTTCTTTCTTTTCCCGCATCTAACCCACTCTGCCCGAGGACTGACGCAAAGGAGAGAGAACGGCCCAGTGTGTGCGCTGAGAAAGTGCTGCTGAGCCCCCAGGCCTCTGGCCCTCCCGGGCCAGCTCAAGTTTTGGTTTTCTAGCTCAGTTCTATGGCCACCCAGATTTCTTGCCACCACTTGGGCTGGCTTTGACTTGGCAGAAAAGACTGGAGGCCCTCCCAAACCCTAATTTCTTTGAAAGATTTGATAGCTGTAAAGGTGAGAATCCACTTTGAGTATGAAGGATAAACAGGAGTGAGGAACCAGTGAGAGCTAATTCATCCACGTGGTAGAAACAGGGCTGGGTCAGAGTCGGAGCAGGTTTGTGGCTGGGTGGAGCCTCCATGTTTTCGTGTAATTGCTTATGTTTTCCAGGGTCCGTGACCTTCACCTCTTCCTGCTAGTGCACCTGTCCTCACCCTGTGACCCCCTCTCCAAAGATATGTTATCTCCATTTTTTTTCCAGGACTTCCTGGGAATTTTTTAGGCCTTGAAGGACAAGAAACAACAGCTCCATTGATCCAGAACCTTTGGAAAACTCTGGCCTCTGTTTAGAATGAGCCCTGTGGAGTTTCCCAGCTGGAAAACTCTGCCCTCCAGAACCTGATGACTGGGCCATGGGATGGGGAGGTAGGAACTGACTGGGGGAGGGGAATCCTTACCAAGTGGGTTTTCACCATCCTCTCTTTCTGAGAGGTTTTCTAAACCCCACCCTTGAACTTCATCTCTACCTCAGCAGCTGGAGAATCCGGCTGCCTGTACTCTGCTGCCAGTGGAGCAGCTATGCTCTTTGGCAGGGCACCCATCACCTTGTTCACTTGTGTGCATGTGCTTATGGCAGAGAGAGCACCCCTTGTTCTGTTTTGCTGCTGAGACCTGATGAACCACTCAGTGTTCTCTAGGCTTGGCAGCCCAGGCTGAGAGCGGGAAGCTAAAAGAGGTCCTGGCTTCCTCACTACGGCTCTCTAAGCACCAGCCTCCCTCACTTTAGACATAGAACAGCTCTGATCTACCTCACAGCACTGTCAGAAGGGCTTCTTCAGGGTTCTGGGGACTCCAGGGTTCATAGGAAGGTGATCCATTAGAACAGATACTTTCTTTTTCTTTGAAAATCAACTTAATAAATATTACTTAATGCGATTCATCCATTGCCCTCTTTTTTCTCCCTTTGTTTTCATCTCATAATCTACTTATTCCCTTCTAGAACTGGCTTTTGACGGGAGCAATATATTAGGACTATTCCCTGTCCCTTTCTTCTTAATCCTTACGAAACAAAAATGAAACATCTGTCTGAGTAAAGGGGAGCAAGCTTGATTGAGCCTTTGACACTCCTGCCACCCCACCCTTTCCCAAATTCCAGGAATTCAGTTCAAATGAGTACAAGGCCATGCTACCTAGAGGACCAGAGTGAAGTGCCCAAGGTTTGGGTTTGCTGGGCTCAGGATCAGGGCACATATGTCAGCTCTCATGCTATAAGCCAGTGGTGGTTTCCTAAGATCCCGCTGCCAGCAGGAACCAGTTTTGTTCTGTGCTGTAAGTGTGTTTCTGGAGGCACAAAGCATTGTTTGTGTTGGGCAAATGTCTCAGGTTATAAATATATTCTGACATTTACCATTCTTTTCATAACCTCTACCTTCCCACTCCCTTTTCTGGACTATATTATCCTCCGGAAGTAAAACCGGAGTTACAAGTTTGAGTCAATTGATAATTTGACTCAAATTTTTTTCCTTATTTCCATTTTTTTCCTTATTTCCATTTTTATGAACCTAATCAGGCAGTTTTCTGTAGAAAGAAAATTTTTATGGAAATCACTGGATTGTTTTTTCAGTTCTCATTTAAACTCCATGAGCAGAGGCCATTGATTTATAGGACAGCTTGTAAATCAGAAAAAATTTAATGTGCTGTATAACAGCAGTATACAATGCATTTGCTAGGTTCAGGGGCTCCAGAGTTATAAAACTTCAATGTGCCCTGAGGATAAGCTCGGTGGATTTCCACATATGGATATTCCCTGTGAATCGGACCTGGCCTAGGCTGCTCTCTTTTCTCCAGAAGCCCTGATTTTACTTCTTAGGATGTTTGCATACCAAAGATGACTTTCTCTTTTTCAATCCAGAGCAGTGTGAGATCTCTGCTGTCTGAGGTGTGGAAGGTTTCTTGGCAAAGACTCAACTTTTGAATGCTTAGTGAAGAAGTCTTGCTTTAGCCTAGGGACAAATAAGAGGGCCTTTTCTCCTCATCTCTGAATATTTTCCCAACATCACTGAGAAAAGTTGCGCAGTCAGTCCTGGGCAGGGGAGAAGGATGATTTTGTGGGGGAGGGGGATTCTGGTTTGTAGAATTGTCCTTGAACATCATCCAGTAACTCATACTGCTTGAGTTTTACTTGACATCCACCCGTGTGCCAGCTGTCAGACTCCTTTGGAGTGTTTAAACTTGCACTCCATCTGTGAATTATCACCAGTGTATCTGACAGATGGAGAGGCAGCCGCTCTGGTCATTTCTCTAGCAACTTGTTGCCAGGTGTCAGGCTGAAAAAGATTTACATCCTTGGGTGGAGAGCAGGCTGCTTTTGCTCGCACGAGGCTTGAGCACTTGAACTGTGGAAGACAAACAACCATCTTCTAAACCTAGAGATGTGAAGACTTACAGACCAATGAGAACGAAACAGGCTGTGGAATCCCTGGCTTTGCCAGAGTCTGTTAGCAGGGGCTGGGCATGTGGCAGAAATGACTGGGAGAAGGGGGTTTAGTTGGGGGAGAGGGAATGAGAAGTGACTGGGTTTCTCAGAGGTGACCTACCTTCTCCATCAGGTGGAACTGCTGAGGAACAGGCAGAATTAGCTACCCTCCCTGTGGTAGATCCTTCTGGAGAACAGTGGTAGGTGCAGTCTGTGGTCCTCATGAGCAGTCACAAGGCTGCTATTCCACACCAACTTCATTCCTCAACCCTTATAGAGAAGGAGCAGCTTCTCCCTCTTGTCCTCAGGGAAAAGGAAATAGTGCTCTTTTATATTTGCCATCTGAAAGCCAAAGATCCAGGCTCCCTCTCAGGACTCTCGGTGGAGTATGTCTCTGTTTGTGTGTCCATGCAGAGGAGAAGTAGGGGCCTGCGGTGGGGAGTACTGCTAAGTGCTCTTGCCCACTCCCATACAAAAAGCTCTGAATACAGTCTGCTTTGAGCCTATTAGTGAGCAGTTGGGGCATAAGGCACAGCTCAGTTTCATTAGCAGAAACTCCAGAAGGTTATCTAATCTTTCACAGCACATCCTATTATAAGATTAATGAAAATCAAAATGCTTTCCTCATTTATAAAATAAATGGAAATTTTCTCTCCTTTCTTGCTTTTAGAAGGGGAGTGAGGTTGACTGGGATGGCTGGTTCTGCTAAAGGTCTGCGAAGTCCTAGGCAGAATTTAGCATCTTCAGCATCCGCTCCACTCAAGCCCTATGTGGTGCTAGGCGCCTCCTGATGGTGATGAGAGATACAACAGTGTGGACTTGGCAATGTTGGTCTGTTGACTAGACCAGCAGAGAGAGCTGCAGTTTTCATAAGGCCATGGACTATCAGAACTGGAAGAGACCATAGAAACGATTTAGTCCAATCCTTTTATAAGACACATGAAGAACCTAACTTAAAGAGAGGTGAATTTTGAGTAGTCAAGATTACTTTAGTAAGTGAAAGGCAACACAGTAGTTGGTATTATAAAGAACACAGAATTCAGAGCTGGAAAACAAGTAAGAAAGGGAAGAGGAAGGATATAATTATTTATTGAGCACCAACAACTATGATTGCAAGAGGTGTGCTACAAATTTTATATTGTAGTGACACTCTATTAAAAAAAAATAGACTCATAGAAATCAAATAATTTGCTTGTGTCGATTCTAATTCAATCTACCAGACTCCAAAGTTCATTTTCTTTTCTCTACACACACTGCCAATAATCAGTTTTGTGACACTGAACAACTTATTTAGCATCTCTGACATCTCGTTTACCTGAAAATCAAATGGAGATTTTTATCATTGCCCTAATCAGCTCATGCAAGCTGGTTTTAAAGACCAAATGAGAAACTATATAAGAATTGTTTGGAAACTGAAGGGGCTCTTCCAGTGTAAGTGATGTCATTAAAGTATGGAGCTGGGACTAGTCCTAGGTCTCCTGGCTTTGATCTTTGTATGGCTCCACTTCTGTGGACAGCCTGGATCTTAAACCCACCTGTCTTTGGTCACTGTGGACATGTCCTACCCGGTCTTTCTTCTGCAGGTTCCTCCCTACCTCAGAATGCTGCCACTGGTTTCATGTTTATGGCACTGTACATCTTTCCCTCTGACTCTCTTTTCACATTCAGACCCTGGTCTAGACTGTGCCCAACATTTTGGTCCTGGTTCGGCTCACTCTATCATTGCCCAGGCAGCATTTAAAATGAGCCAGATCTTAAAGATGGACAGAAGGTTTAGGACAGAGGGTACTTCCAGATGTCAGTGCTTTTTGGGACATTATAGTAGGGGTTCATTAGAAGGGGATCCTAAGGAACCAGAAAAAGGAGATGTTGTATTAGTTTGCTAGCACTGCCATAACAAATTACCACAAATAGAAAAGTATTTCTCTGACCGTTCTAGAGTCTAGAAGTCCAAAGGCAAGATGTTGGCAGGATCATGCTCTCTCTGAAGGCTCTAGGGGAAGAATGTCTCTTTGCCTCTTGTGGCTTCTGGTGTTTGCAGCCGTCCTTGGTTGCTTGGCTTGTAGCTGCATCACTCTAACCTCTGCCTCCAGCTTCGCATGTCTTTCTTCCCTTATGTATCTGTGTCCAAATTTATCTCTTCTTATAAGGCTACCAGTCATTGGATCAAGGCCCAATTTAACTTGGGATGACTTCATTTTAACCTGATTACATCGACAAAGACTGTATTTCCAAATAAGGTCACATTCACAAGTTTTGGGAGCTAGGACTGCAACATATCTTATAGGGTGACACAATTCAGCCTACACAGGTGGTATGATGGGGATGGATAAACACTATCACACCTAGTCTTTTTATGCTCATCTTATTCCTGTCATTCCCCACGTTCCCAAGGCTCTGTTTCATCCTATAATCAGTCAGAAAGGTTGTGAAAGTGCTTCCATTCCTGGATTTCTGTTTCTAGGTCTTTCCGCCCATCTCTATGGGTCCCAGATTGGAGAGGCCACTGATAAGTCAAACCTGTGTTTGTTATCTCCTGTGGGCAGAGGTTGCTATCCATTCTCCCCATTCTTCCCTTCTTCCTTTAGTAATAAAACCTCTAAGTTTTAGCTAGGTACATGGCCTCACGAAAGACACATTACAGCCTCACTTGCAGCTAGTTGTGACTATGTGGCTAATTCTAGTTCTAGCTAATTGCGGTGTGCAGCTTCCAGGTCAGCCATTAAAGGGGAAGGGTTGGTCCCTCACTTCCATTTCTCCCCTTCCCACTGGTTGGGATGCAGATTAGAACTGAAGCCTCCACCTTAGGTCATAAGTTGGCGACTATG